AATTCCCTCTAATTAGATTTGTCAAGGTGTTCCTGGACATATTGATTTAATTCAATTCAATACTCACTTATTGAGCACCTGCTATATGAAAGGCCCTTGATTTGGCACTGGGTAGTGGATATAAAAGCTGAAAAAGACATGGTTTCTGAAACTAAAGAAGTTAACATCCGGAAGAGCATAAAACATAAAATAAATACTCAAACACAAGGCAGGAGGTAAGAGAGAATGACAGAAGATGGACATGTTGCTCCAAGAAAAGGTGTAACATTGGAAAAATGCAAGATATTTTTAAGAACTGATAGAGAGGTCAGGCTGAAGCATATGTTGGGGCAGTCATGGGCCCTAGAGATGAAAAGGGTTGTAGGTGTTTTATGCAGACCCTGGGGAACCAGGGAGATAGCATGACCAGAGTCAAGTTTCTGGAACATTCATCAGGGTGGAGCCTGAACAATGGATGGCAGGGCAGAGAGAACTGAAGGCAAAGGGACTACTGCAATAACCTGGGCAAGAGGTGAGGGAGTCAGAATTATGGTTTTTATGTGTATGTGAGGGAGGAAACATAAAATTACTACACGGTTTTGGCTGTCCAGACTGCATTATTTGTGAGATTTTACACAATTCACTGACTCTGCTGGCACAGACGGTGCTAATGATCAAGACTGTGCCTTACGTGTACTGTTCCGAACAAAAGCACATGCTGGTACTTGAAGGAAGATACTAATACAAAAGGATGCCTCTCTGGCTTGTTTGATACGATGTAAATCAACTTGCAGGCTTTTCCTTCCCTTCTTCCTTTTCTATGAAGCTTTTATTTTTTTCCCTGATTGACTGTAAAAGTAGTACATGCTCATCATAAAATTGGGAATATATATAAAACAAAAATCCCTTATAGCTAAATAATTTACAGGTAATCACTGTTATAATTTTGGTCTATTTCCTTCTACTTATTATTTTATGCATGAGGTATTTGGGAACAGTACAAGTGATTAATTAAGGAACACTATCTTAGTTATCTGCACTATTGTAGGTTATACCTTATACTCTACATATAAAATCAGCACTGTATGTAGACAAAGCTGTTGCTTTAAACATTGGAATCCACAGCTGCTTGTCTGAATGGCTAGTGCTCACTTTATTTTTGAGAGCTCTTTTGTATATACATTAAAGTAGTGAATCATGCTCCAATATATTTTTATTTTCTGCTTTAAAAATATATAGCACAAAATGTAAAGGTTTATCTTAACAATAGAAAATAAAGGTGATAAGAATGTATATAAGAAGCACTCTACCCCTGAAACACTCTATTCCTAAAGAAACAACTGTTTTATAACGGATATTTTTAATAGTGTGAAGTTTCTCAGGCATACTGCTATCACATTGTAATAGAACAGACAGTATATATTTTTATCTGCATATAAAAATACATATATTTACCAAACTGGAGTAAAGACACACACTCACATATCCTGATTTTTCTCTTACTGTATCTCCTTTTTAGGAGCCCTGGTGGAGCAGTAGTTAAGTGCTGGGCTGCTAATCGAAAAATCAGTGGTTAGAACCTGCCAGTTGCTCCACTGGAGAAAGATGTGGCCGTCTGCTTCCGTAAAGATTTACAGCCTAGGAACCCCTATGGGCAGTTCTACTCTGTCCTTCCTATAGGATCGCTATGAGTCTGAATCAATGGCCAAAACCAAAAACCAAACCCACTGCCATCGAGTTGATTCTGACTCATAGTGACCCTACAGGACAGAGTGGAACTGCCCCATAAGGTTTCCTACACTGTAAAATTTTACAGAAGCAAATTGTCACATCTTACTCCAGCGGAGTGGCTGGTGGATTTGAACCACCAAACTTTCGGTTAACAGCTGAGCACTTTAACCACTGTGCCACCAGGGCTCCTCTAACTTGACGGCAATGGGTTTTTTTTTTTTTTGGTTTGGTATATCTCCTATACATATAATTAAATATTTTAATTCACTCATCATTTCATCTAAAATTTGCTAAATCTTCACGAGCCATGTCAAATACTACCTCTACCATAAACATTCCACGATAGCCCTGGTTTATTATTTCTCACCTGGATTATAGTAATAAATCCTCTTAATTGCTTTACCAGTCTCTAGCCTGTCCTCTTTCCAAATCATCCTGCTGAAATACTCCCCCTCAAACATAGCACTGATCATGTCACATCCCTGCTCAAAAACCTTTAGCAGTTGCTCAGTGGCTACATGATAAAGTACCACTTCTTAGTCTGGTTCCACTAGTCCAGACTTTTCTTTCTATATAAACCCTGCATTACCACCAAACTCACCCTTCTGTGGCTTTACTTCTGATATTACCCCACATTCCTTTCTATCTTGACGACAGTTATTTGTGTACATGTCTTTTCTCTGGATTAGGCAATAAGCTCTTTGAAGTCAGGGTTGCAATTTCAGTTCAGCGCAATTAAATGTAAATCAGATCAACTGTATTCCAGATACCACGCAAGGTGTTAAGAGTAGAGAGATAAATACGGCACAATCCGCACACTCAGGGAGCTCAGAGAGGGAGACACACATTAATAAATAACCACGATTCAAGGCACTATGTAAAACTGCTGGACCACACACAAGGGACAGTGGCAGCACAGAAGAGGGGGCAGGCTCTCCTTGTGTGTGTGGGGGGGCTGCGAGGAGGTGATTCGTAAAGAGAAAGGAGACTGCCAGACAACAAGGGCAAGGTACATGAAACGGCTGAGAGGAGGTACCGCATGGTCTGTTCAGGGCATTTTAGAAAGTTAGGTGATTCTGCAGTGAGGGAAGAGGTCACAGATTTGCCTTTAAGGTAGGCAGGGTGAACACTGTTAACAGCCTTGCAAAACACCATACCATAAACCAAAAACCCATTGCTGTCGAGTCTATTCCAACTCCTAGCAACCCTATAGGACAGAGTAGAACTGCCCCATAGGGTTTCCAAGGCTATAATCTTTACAGAAGACGACTGCCAAATCCTTCTCCCGTGGAGCAGCTGGTGGGTTTCAACTGTCAACCTTTTGGTTAGCAGCTGAGTACTTAGCCACTGCATCACCAGGGCTGCAAAACATGATAAGGAGTTGAAAATCAAATGCCATTTAACATCTCTTCCAATGCTGCCATTGGTTGTTCTTCAAAATGTTTAGATTACTATACAGCTTTCACTGTAAGTTTTGTCTCTCTCCAATTAGAGTATAAAATTCTGGAAGGCAGAATCCATGTGCACACTTCCTGAATCTCTCCAAGCCCTCAGCACGATGCCTAACACAGAGTGGGAGTTTTAGCAATCTTTTAGTTTGATAATCCAAACTCATTCTGATAGTTGTACGCTCAGTGCTTAAACAGAATTCAAAACATCTGCTAGAAGAATTAACCAATGCTGAGTCAAGACAAAAACTGAAAGGACCAGCATGTTTTGAGAAAATGTTCTGGATTAGTGATTTTGCCTCTAGAACAATTTTACTTGCTGTGAAAAAAGCAATTTAATGTAATTTGTTTCAAAATGTCATATTTTAGCATATTTATGGTTGTCAATAACTGGGTAACCAACAGTAAAATAACTAGTATGGATTTTCAGCTGTGTTAATTGAAATTGTCTCTCGGAAGTGCTTGCATGTAGTGATGGTTAATCAATGGATGACATGTCCCTGAAGACTGGCCAGCCTTCCTCTCCAACCCCTGCTGGGCAGGACAGTCGTCTGTGACCTAGAATGGCATCTCCTCTACGTAGTGTGAGCATGGTGTGATGACCAATAGTAGTAGCCAAGCCAAAGAAATAGAAGCGAATGCAGAGTGAAGCTGGGAAAGTTAGAACTACATTCCATCAAAGTTATAGCCAACCAGAGCAACTGCATTTTGCATTTTGTGTTTATTTGGGGGAGGAAACGAGAGAGGTGTGTGCGTGTGACTATGTAAATGTGATTGTCAGAGCTGTAGAGGCCGTGGGATGTGGGGTAGGTTCTTTCATAGGCTCCAAAGTACTCTCCCCAGTCCAATGAGGGGAAAGAAAAGTGAGCCTCCCACACCCTGTAAGAAAAAAGAAAAAGAAAAAAAAAAAAAAGGGAAACAGATAAGTATAAATATAGGTGTAAATAACAAAAAAAAAGAAGACGACGACCGCAGAGAGGCTGACAAAGTATGTGGACAAGACAAAGGTAACAGAAAAAAGGATGAAATAAGAGGTGATGAAGAGAATGAAGTATAAATCATAAGTGGGGATATTAAAGTCAAATTATCAGAAGTTTCTCTGCAAGATGATTTGACTCCTGATTCTTTTGCTGGGATGATAACCCGTGCTGCCACGAGCACTCCTCGTGTATTTACTGAGGGGAAGAGAATAATGGAGTACAGTGTCTCATGTTATTAATATTAATCCTGAAATGCTATTGTCCATAATTTCATACTTTCAGTTCTGGGGAGACGCATGAATCAAGAGTCTGGCTGTTGATATCGTTTACCCTGGAGATGACAAGAACCAAGAAAGAGTCATCAAAAGGACAGTGATGATAGGTAGGCAAAGCATATGGATGCCTAGATATGCTACATATTCTAAGCGATTGTGTCCATGGAGAGAGATAATTACAGAACTATGTTCTAAGAAAAAGCTGAATCCTGAAAGTTGATTTATTTTGCCAGAGACCTATAAACTGTCTTATATTTAATCATATTTCTCGTCCTTTTGTTTTGGAGATTTAACCCCCTCCTTACTTGCTTATTTTGGATCTGTTACCAGGAAAGACCAATCACTAGAAAAGGACATCATGGTTGGTAGAGGGTCAGTGGAAATGAGGGAAGCTCTTAAAGAGATGAATTGACACAATAGCTACAACAATGGACTCAAACATACCAATGATCATGAAGATGGCCCAGGACGGGGCAATGTTTCACTCTGTTATACATAAGATTGCTATGAGTTGGAGCCAACTCGACAGCAACTAACCACAACAACAGCACCCCCTCCTGGTCTACACTGAAAAAGACTCCTCTTACATCAGCCTGGGTATGTCGCTGACAGCCACTGTCCCGTCATGAGTCTCACTCTCCCCATCTTCCTCCTCTTCTTCACTACTTTCCGACTCCTCACTGGAGGAGGAGTAATCAGTCACCTTCTTCAGGGGACGGTTTGTTTCTTCAATACGGAGTTCTCTTAATTCTTTGGCTAATGCCGTCAGATCCTACAAAAGATAAGTTCGTTCAGCACGTGAATTGCAGATAAGACCAAAGCTACATATCTCAGAAAGTCAATGCTCCAGCTTAAGCAACAAGAAAAAAGCTCTATATAGAACTGCTACAAACACAGTTACTGCATGGAGCTAAGGAAAAGATGTTTGTAGCGCACAGAAACTAGAAAAGAAAGATGAAATCGATTTAAATTTTGCTCAAAACCAATAGCTAGACCGAGACTGTTCAGTTCTGAATATATACGTGTATGTGCATTGTGTGTATACACATATATACATACACTGAGTTCTCATTTTATTTTGGGAAGGTGAAGTTGGTAACCCTCAGAGTTAATGAGAAAATACATGGGATTAGAAATTCTTCCCCAGTATTTTGGGGCTCCTGCCCAAGCCACAGTGATGGCCTTTCCCCTGATGTGATTGCTACTGTACCAAAATCCAGCATCAGTCACAGAACAGAGCAATTCCCAAGGTCCCAGCTACGACAATGACTCATTTGGTGTGTCATCATTCCCTGAAGAGCAAAGGCTCTACATCAAATGATGACCCACCCCAAAGCCCAGTGCCACTGAAATTATAGCCACAGAGCCGAGTTAATCAAGAGGAACAAAAACAAAAAAAAAGGAAGTTCTCTTGCAGAATGATGGGTGTTTCATTTTCTTTTGTTTAAAATTCCAGTCACCTGGCAGAAACCCTGGCTAAGAGTACTGAAATGAATGTGCAAACACCAAACAGAAGAGATAATTTCCCAGTTTTCCATGAGCATGATGAAACCTTTAGCCTTATGTGATATGATGATGTGAAATTTAATCATCAGGCATATTGCAGGCAGTGGCTGAAGGTCTGACTACCTTTTATTTTACATGCTTTCAGGGCAATGCAGAGGGAAGCAATTCTGCAAAAGCATGGCTGCTCTAATTCACATGGGTTAAACTGCCCATGGCGCACAGCATGCAAATGAGGAAGAAGCAATTTGACATCAGTCTTACCATTTCTCCCTATATTAGTGACCCATGTGAGAACCAGAGCATTCAGTGAGAGACGGGATTAGGGAGAAAGAAACTCATTGAAAAATACTAAATCCCACAGTTTTCTTATAGCCATATTCTCTCTTTATTTCAATCCAGAAATGTATTTGTCCAATTCACCTGACGTAGGATTATAGCAATCTAGATGATCTAAATGGTGTTTGATAAGCTATCCAAATTGGTTGAAGGAAAAACCGTGGTTAAGTGTGCATAACTGAATTTTACATTTATTTTATTTTTTTTAATTATAATTTTATTTTGAGAAGGCAAAAAATCATCATGTTTCTTCATTGCCACCTATACATCAAGCATTACTATTTGTTGTTAAGACTAGGACAGGAAACACTTTAAGTGTTTTATTCGGTCTAGAAATTTAGGAAGTTCAGGGTGTTAAGTGAGGGAGACGTTTCTTTCTAATTTCATAAAAATCAGATGGAAAGCAATAATGACTTTTAAATTTGTCCTGAAATCAAATGAAATGAAGTCCTTGAAAAAGGGAAGCTTCTGAAAATTCAAATTACACATGATATATGCAAACACATTTTCTGGGATTTTTACACACACACACACACACACACACACACACACAAGGCCTCAATCTCAGCAGATATATTTGTCCTATACATGCAAATGAAAATAAAATTGTTTTTAAAAATGCTCAATAGTGTTTAAATATAATATGTATTATTATAGTAGAGGAAAACTACCACATAGATAAAATTTCCTGAAAATTTACTTCTGCTTTATTTATTTATTCTTTAGCAATGGGCCAAAATAAGAAAAGCTTATATCTGGATTTAAGTTTTTTACTTCTTATTTTCTCTTGACAATTGCCAATGCTTATCTTTATCAAATGGAGAAGAAACTGAAGAATATGCTATACTTGAACACCTTGGGAAAATACAGTGTAGGTATTTGTTAAGGTCTTGAAAGGAAAAGGAGATTATAATTCTCTGCACTAGCAAAATAACAACAAATTTGATAAATTTATTTTGTATTTTGACTTCTGCATGTTAAAACCATGTTAAAACTCATTAAAGAATATAATTAGCACTTAAAATGTTACTTGCTGTTAGAAAATACATTTTATTATAATTTAAAGAGAGAATATGGTTTAAAAGAGCTCATTTCCAATGTCAATAATTCTGTGAGTCAAATATAATAAGATTAGCTAGGATCTATTTAAATTCATGACACATTTTCCCCATGGCTTGGTTTTCCTCATCTCTGACATTTCAAAACAAGAAAAAAGATATTTACAAAAAAAAAAAAAAAAAAATCCAGCCTATTTAGAAATATTTAGCTGATCCAAAGTCCATTGATTTAAGGAAACTCACACTTGTCAAAACGACCTACAATTTTCTAAACACTGTGTTTAGAACACTTTAAAGTTCTGACCTACTTAGTAATTTCATTTTTAATTAGAAGTTTTTTTTTGTTTCCACGTTATTAAAAAAGCTGTCTTTATTGAAACATTAGAAATAATTGCAAATTCCTTTTAAGTTTAATTGGTAATAGCTTGCAGGGTGACACACACATGAAAATCCCAAGGTAACAATAATGAGTAACTTAAAAGTAGTATCCCCAGTCTAAGAAAATTAATCTTCCATTGCCAATAGCTTATGTGTTTAGCTGAATTTTTGTTTCTTATCATTCCACTCTGGAACAATTTACAATAACAAAGTTATAGGAAATAGACATGGTCTAAAATTGATTCATTTAATTCTCTGTCAATACCAATTTTCTCCACATAATGAGTCTTTGTGGTAATTTATTGCTTGACTGTCTCAAGCCTCGAACTAAAAAGTATTAAAAAGGAGGAATAAAAAGCGCTATTTAGCATGAAAATATTTAAGATGTATTACTAAAAAAGAAATATAGCAAAACGGTAAGATTTTTTGACTATATGGTAAATGTGAAGAGTTAAGAGGCTCTTAAAGGTTTCTCTGATGTAGCACTTTAGAATCAACTTGATTCTATTTTTCAATCAAAAAAGCTTATTTAATCTGATAATTATGATACCTTGCCTAAAAAGATGCTTTTTTAGTTCTCTTTTTAGAAACAATATAGTTTATTCAAATTTTAGTTCAATTTTTTTTAACAATTATTTTGTTCAATTTTTTTAAGCTGGTCTTTTCTTTATGTATCAAAAATTTTTTGTTTCTTTCTAGGAAATCTAAAGATATCATTGGGCAAGTCACTTAACTTCAGTATCCTCATCCGAGAAAAAATGGGTTTGAACCACTAGTTACTGTTGACGTTCCATCCAATCTACGGATGTGTCCTGGGATGTTTCAGATTCCTGCGCACTCAGGAAGAACAGTACTAAAGCCAATGTTTGCTTATGTATACAAACTTCAAGACACATATTTAACTGTGCCAAAGTGTGCTGCAGTACTCCAAAATACATAAATAAAGCAATTTTGAAAAACCCAAAAAATCCTTCTTTTCCTCAAGGCAGCTATCTCCAAGGCAACTTCTGGACTGAGGAGATTCTCCTTGAGCTGCTCACACCACAGCCATCTTGTTGGCAGCCACAGCACCAGAACATCATTCTTTTTCTTCACCTCTTTTGAGGGGAAACTGATGAAAATTGTGATAACAGCTGTCCTTCTCGTTATTATGAGGGAAGGGGCAAGGTAGTGGTACATAGCAATTTAAAAACATCCCCTTTTCCCTTTCTATTAATGCCCTTCACATATTACAGACATGCAGAGTCATATTTTTTCATAAGCAATAACCCTTTACCTAGGATCACAACTTTCTAAATCACTCTGAAGGGTGAGGTAGTCATAATTCTGAAAGAGTAGATGCTCTTTGGTGAAGATGAGATGCCTAGAAACATGCTTCTCCCACCTGCCACAATAGGTCCATGCCTCAAGCCCAAACCTGAGCCATGACGACAACTTCTGGGGTTTATACAGCAACTGATACTTCATAAAATGCTTTCGCACACATGACTCGAGGGATCCTGAACAATCCTGTGAGTGAGGCAGGGTAGGTGTTTTTATGCGCATTTTACAGATGTGGATACTCTGGCCCAGAGGGGTTAAGTGGCTTGTCCCAATCAGTAATTTACTGGGGATCCAGGTTTTGAATACAGCCTGCTGACCCCAAAGCTACTGCTTTTTGCTTATCATTTCACAAAAATGCTGCTCAGCAGAGCTACAGCCTAAAAGCCATAATGGGGATCTTCAGATTCCATGCACTAGGACTCGCTGCAAGGTCTGACTCTTAAAAAAACACTCTCCTATGCTGTATTCATGCAGGTCTGACAAACAGCGCAAAGGCATCATCCGTCTTAGTAAGCTACCTGCAATTGACAAAGCCATATATTTTTCTAATGGAAAAATGTCTCCACAGATAAGGAAATAAAGTCACTTAACTTGCCAGGATTCATTAACTAAAGTCAATGTTGCTGCTGATGCTGTTGTTAATGTCCCAAAATATTAATCTAACAATAGCCAGTAACTCCCTGTTCACACATCACACACTATAAATTTGGAGTGCCCCAGAATGATGTCTCTTTTCTTTGTTAGTAAAACCACTCAGAGCTGTCCCCTAGCAAGGCCGGTGAGAGCAGGTTAACAGCCCAGGCTTTGCTGCTGGAAGATACTGGAATGAGAAATGGTGCCATTAATAAAGCACTAGTGCTTGTTAGCTAGACTGGGAACAATGGAAGAGTGAAATTTTGGCTTAGAAGGAAAGTCTCTGAAGCCTTATAAGGGTGCCTGAAGGTCTTGGGACAGCTTCTACTGAAGGGGCTCTCCTCCTAGCAGATCACTCCCAACTGAGTGAACTTTAATCTGTGATCGTGTTGGCCACCATTCTGAACGTCAACATCAGGATTCAGTTTTACATTTACATCTTATGAAAGCAATACCAAGAAAAGGTAATACTAACCTCATCTATAGCTTTCTTATAGCTCTGAGATAAGAGGAACCCAGTCCAGAGGATCCACAGAAGGAGGAAAAGCCAGAAGAAAGGCAAGCAGGTTAGAAACAAAACTGGAATTATTAGTATAAAAGTGATATACAAAATAAAAAGAGAAATTCGACTTAGAACGATGCAAATTCTCTTCATTATCACTCTCAGTATATTTTCTTACTTTAAAATGTAAATAACCGAGTAAATAAAGACTTCACATTCATTTCATAGAAAAGCTTCTCAGATAATTTTAAATAAGTATATAGTAACTCATGCCAAATTAATTTTCAACTTTCAAATTTCAACCTCTACATCATTTTTTTTTTTAAAGACTATTTGGGGGTCTGTGGTGTTACAGCAATGGAGCTAGATTTCAAGGTGTCTGGCCCCCTGTCAAACCATGCTTGTCAAGTTTGGGCCCAGAAAATATACCAAATTTTTGAGAAAATAACGTGTGCCTTCCACGTTTGCTTGCCAACAGCTCCCTTCCACTTGCAAGGTATTTTTGTAAGTGCTATGTTAATTTTTTTTTACAGTAACGTAGAAAAAAATTAGAATAGCGGTCTTTATGAAAATACCTTGTGGGGGAGGGATCGGTTGGTAAACAAATACATTACTTGTGTAAAAATGTAGTAGCCCTAGAGGCATGAAAAGGGGCAGAAAAATTATAATATCACATAATTCATCTAGAAATAATATGGGGGAAAAGGCAGAAAAAATAAGAGAAACAGATAGTACTCAAGTCTGCTTAACCACACTAGTTTCAACATCTTTTTGCCAAAGTTGACAAGTAGAAATTATGGAATGATATGAGTTATTTCTTATCCTGTTTTATTTTCTAAAGGAGTACTAACGATCAGCAAAATATCAAAAGGCGGACAATGGGCAGAGGGGCAATGCAAGACCTGTTCAGTTCTTTCCTAAGCAGGTATGACTTCCCTCTGGAGGCTTCTAGCATCTGTTCTTACTAATCAAGGTGATTTTTCTTCGTAATCATGAGTATATCCCCACCTACTTTATCCTATAGGTTCTCTGGTAAATTAAAGGAGCTCAAAACCCTTCAGAGAGAAAAGCACTCACAGCTGGTCGACTAGGTCGGGTAATGTCCCTGGATTCTTCTGGTTTCACCTTGGAAGGCTCATGGGGGAGCACAGGTGATCCTTCCGACTTACTGTTGGCTAGAGAGAAAAGACAGAAGGCCAAGGATAGTAATTGTGGCACAAGTTCTGTGATGAGTCATCCCTTCAGGATTACTCTGTGGACACGTCATTTACTGAGGCAAATCCCTAACCAGATCCAAGAGATAATCATAAATATTCAAACAAAATCAGGCAAATAACATGTAGGCTTGTAATCCGGAAGTCACTAGTAACAATAGAAACTGTAGAAACCACCACCACCATTTACTGAGCGCCTATCACGTTGCAGGCACAGTGATAAAAGCTTTCTACGTCAACTGTCTCATCTAGTCCTCACTCTAACCCTATAACATGGTACCCTTTTCCTATCTTACAGGTGAACACAGGCTTAGAGAGTTGATGCAACTGGCCTAAGGTCTCAATAAAAATATGGGTAGAGCTGAGACTCTAATATCTCAAAGCCTTATTGTCCATCATTATGTTAAACCAGCATCCCCAAGTCAAGGTTCTATGCTTGGGTTCTTCTTTACTACCTACTTATCAAAACAGGCTATTTAGATCAAATTATGCAAAAAACACTCAATTCTATTCCATTTGGTGGAATGATTCTTAAATGAGGGGAGGGTTGTCTGGACCCTTTATGGAAGAAAGAATGAGGTAATAAAGGGGAAAGGCAGTAGAGTTGAGGTGCAGAGCAACCTTAGAGGACGTTAGCAAGTCAGCTACGACTGTGTCTAATGAAGAGGCTAAGGAAGAATAACCAACTGGTGGTTCTCATCAGGCAGAATCATCCGTAAGTAAATGAGTGTTTATCAAATGGTACTTTGAAAAGGACTGGTCTTTAGAAACAAAAAACTGTCTTTTGAAGAAGGGAATTCAGAAAGTTAATTTTGATTAGCTAGCAACGAAGTGTTTTCATGTATACTTAGCTGGACAATTACACATGAAAACCTTAGTTTTTCACAGGCATCTTCATTAATGAAAACTAAACAGTGATGAACGACTTAAATGTTTAGAGAGGCTAATTTTTACCTCTCTAAATAGGAATAACCTGAAGAATCAAATATATATTTTTTTAAGTCAAAGATTTTATTTCTTCCCTTAAGTGTATTTATTCTGTTAATCTTTATTAAATTTTATGTCAAGAAATACCTAGTACCATGAACTATGTTCGGAATGCTAAAAGGGGCAATTGGTGCACTGGTAACAGGATACTGGGTATGTGAAACTCTAATGATGCAATTGAATGGAAATGGAAATTGAGAGTTAAGCAGTTGGCTGCTAAACAAAAAAAAAAAAGTCAGAGGTTCAAAACTACCAGCCTCCGTGGGAGAAAGATGTGGCCATCCGCTTCCATGAAGATAACAGCCTTGGAAACCCTATGGGGCAGTTCTACACTGTCCTAGATGGTCATTATGAGTCGGAATCAACTTGATGGCAATAGGTTTAATGGATTGGTAAGTGACTAGATTTTCAAATAAGACGAATATTCTGTGATCTTATTAATCTCTTTAGAAAACAGTGGGATCTATGATCAGGAAGGATTTAGTCCACACTCTGACATCACACATATTTGAGGATGGCAGCCCACTTCTCTGAGGAGATGGAGACTGAGAACAGTTAAGGGGCTTTTTCAATATTATACAGTCGGTGATCATGCCAGCGCCAGAAGTCAGGAACTAATATGATCCCTGTGCCCAGCTCTGCTACCCGGCAGTGCTATCGGTAAAAAGGTAAGAGAAGTTTTACCTCGAACTCTGGTCCGTTCGCTGGAACCTGCTTGTGATCCAGGCTGCGAGCCTCCTTGGGAACTGGGCTGGGAGCTAGGGGTGCTTGAGCTGGAGGAGCTGCCACTACTGGTCCTCTGCAAGGGGCTCTCCAACACGGGCTCAGTCCTCCGGAGGTCAGGGTTGCTGCACGGGCGGTACAGTGCACTGATTACACTCCCAAGACCTTGCCATTGGTGGACACAAGCATAATCCAGTACCCTCTCCCGTGCAGAGCAATAATGAAAGCACTCAGAAGACCCAGGTACTGAAGGAGTCAAAGCCAGACAGTCATGTCTTTCTACATGGAGCTCCTGGCCAGATACGGGATACGGGTGGGATGAACTCATGACCCAATCCTTGAGCCGTTACATTCAAAGTATTAGCTCTGAAACAGTGAACTGCCAAAAGGAGGCTTTCTCTTAAACCATTTGCTTTCTGTGTTCATTGTAAAAAACTAGAAAAATATTAAAGGTAAAAATAAGGAAACAACATTTGTCATTTCTGAACCAGGAGATAGTCAACCCATATTTTACTAGTTGGTATATTATCTTCTATCTAGACTTTTTTTTTTCCTGTACATATGGAATCAAACTGTATATTCAATTTTGCATCTTGCTTTCCCCCCTTAACACTGCATTGTGAGCATTTTCTTACGCTTCTGAAAATAATAATGCCTGCGTAACAGTCATATTGTCTAACCACTCCTCTACTGTTAGATATCAAGGTGCTTCCAATATATTGCTGTAACACATAAGACAGAGACAACCATCTACATGCATACAAATACCCTATCACATCTCTATTTCCTTAGTATAGGTTCCTGGAATTGAGTGTGTGTGTGTGTGTATGTGTGTGTGTGTATGAGTATAAAGGTATTACCAGTTTTTACTAAAGTGTATGAAATGGTTTATCTCTCTGAGTTTTATTATGGACAGTTTGCTAATCTGGACAAATCTGTTGTTTTAATGCAATTAAAAAATTACTATTGATGTAGGATATTTTTTGTTCACATTTATTTGCCATTTATAATTTCTGTGAATTGCCTAATCATGTTCTGTTCTTTGCTCATATAGCTACTGGAATATTTGCATTTCTTATTATTGTCTTGCAGGAAGTCTATATATACTTAGGCATTACCAAAGGGAGGTGTGATTTTTGATAATTATTACTAAGTGCTAATTCAAGAACAAATTAGTTTGTTGGCAGGCTAGTAACCTCTACTTTTCATAAGACCTTTCTATGTTATTAGTCCTAGTATCTTTACTTCCCCCTAAATAGCAGTATTTATTCATTCACTCAGTTGTTCTAGTCCAGGTACTGGGGATACAATGATGACCAGGACATAGCCTCTGCCCCTTAGGAGCTCAGCCAGACCTACACAGCCAATTTCATCCATGCTTTGCTTGCAGTGAGCACACAGCAGTATGGGAGCATGGAGCAGAGTCACCTAGGTTGTTTTAGGTGGTCAGGGAAGCTGTACCAGAGGAGGAGACATCTAAGCCAAGACTGGAACAATGAGTTGGGCAAAAGAGGGAAATGGTAGTGGTGGTGGAGGCAGTTTCTGAGTTTTACGATTCTGTAAAAAAATAAGCAACATCCTCAGAGCTTCTATAAAGCTTTTCCTTTTAAAATTGTAATTCAAAGGTCTTTCAAATTTTCCTTTAGATTTACACAAAACTGGACATAGATAATTTAGTCAGAGCTGAAACTCAAAGCCCAGATCTATTGCCATCCAGCTACTGAGGGGAGAACCTGATCCCATATAGGCTCCCTCCATGTTCCCAGTGTTTTCAGTTCTCTAAACAGAATTCCACATCTGTGTTGATATAGTCACCATGTTGTTGCTGGGTGCTGTCGAGTTGATTTCGACTTATAGTGACCCCACGTAACAGAGAATTGCTCCACAGGTTTTTCTAGGCTGTAATCTTTATGGGAGCAGATTGCCAGGTCTTTCTCCTGCGGAGCCACTGGGTGGGTTCGAATTGACAATCTTTTGGTTAGCAGCTGAGCACTTAACCATTGCGCTATCAGGGCTCCTTTGAGCTAGGATTTTAACGCAGTGAGATACTTACATAAAAATGCAACTTTATGCTTGAATTTTGGCCCACCCAGTTCAAAGTTTCAAATACATACCAGACACTGTCCTGTGTTAGGCGTTAGATGTTTCATACATAAATGTGAAAATTATATGGTCCCTTCCTGAGAGACACTTACAGTCCAGTCACAAAATTGTCAGCCTTATAACAGCCACTAAACCAAACAGTCTCTTTTGAAAACATACTAGTAAGGATCTTGCTTTGTGGTAATGCATCTGCCAAAAACAGTTGCTTGAGACATTTGGTTTCAAATTCTTTAAACATGGATTATTGGAAGACATGCCTGGTGACTCTAGAAAACTTCAGTGGAAAACTTTATATGTAAAAATAAATATGTCTTTATAATTTATTAATTTAAATCACATAAATGTAGAATTCACTATTATTTTAGTGAAAATTATTTGCACTTAAGTCACTGAAATTGATTTGAATCCACAGTGGAAATATGCCTTGATTGGGAGAATGCATAAACTAATAAACGTATTTCTTCTGAAATAGTCTACATTTCAAAATTTTTGATTTTCATAAGGAAACACTTCCACTCCCTTTAATTCCCAAATAATGAATTCTTCCCTTTTGCCTTCTTTTGAAGCCCTGGTGGTACAGTGGTTAAGAGCTTGGCTGTTCAAATCCACCAGCTGCTCCTTGGAAACCCTATGGGGGGGCAGTTCTACTTTGTCCTATAGGGTTGCTATGAATCTGAATCGACTCAAAGGCAGTGGGTTGTTGTTGTTTGTTGTGCCTTCTTTTATTAAACAGTAACAGTAAAGGATTATTATGCACAATTAATAAATGCCAGAATATTTTTTCTAAAAAAATGTATTGTTATTGCTAACCAACAGTAATGCAGATTAAGAGTGATGGGCAGGTTGAAGCATCTCGGTGGTTGCTATCAGTTTGTACAATGGTAATGTGATATTCTTTGTATTTAAAAAATCTATTGTCATCAAACTGTCAACAGTTACTTTAAAACAAAGATGAGAATGTAAGACGGCAGAGAAACTAGATTAATGGAAATGGAACAACCAGAATGGACATAATGAGGATGTTCACACATTGTGAATAACATAACCAATGTCACTGACAACTTGTGTAGAAACTGTTGAATGGGAACCTAAACTGCTGTGTAAACCTTCATCAAAAACACAATAACATATTATTAAAAAAAATTTATTATCACTGCTTGTCATTTATATTGTTAAGTGTAATGGAAACATTTGGAAACAAATAGTGGAGATGGTTGCATAACACAATAAAAGTAACTATGTGAAAAATGTTGAAATGGTAAAATTTTTGTTTTATATACACTCACCACATATGCACAAAATCTACTGAGAGAGGGTTTGTGACAGGGGCTCTGAGTTTTTTGTCTTGGTAGTTGTGATGTGGTAGCAGGATCCAGGCACTTGCTCTAAGGTAGCACTCCTTTCACCATGTAAACAAAAAGCTTTTCATTGAGCACTTACTTGGTGACACTCATGTAGGTGAAGCAAAGGACACAGGGCATACACTCAAGTTTCAATATCATGGAGATGAGACACACGCAGTGGAGACAATAATGAACAAGGCAAAAGTCTGTATGTTGTGTGTGAAAGAGACTGTAAGCATTGCTCGACCCTGGGGAACAAGTGATGCAGCCTGGAGCAGTCAACGGCCATGTTATGAAGGAGACAGGACTTGACTGGGCTTTGGAGGGGTGAGCACGGAAGACTGGAGGAACAGCCTGAGCAAAGACATACGGGCTGGGGTTTTCCTGGTATGTGTTGATGTAGGGAGAACACCAGCCTAACTGGGGTACCCAGTCTGTGTTAGGAAATACTGGGGATTTGGGTTATGAGATGAAAAAACCAGTTGCGGTCGAGTTGATTCAAACTCATGGCAACCCCATGTATGTCAGAGTAGAATTGTGCTCCACAGGGTGTTCATGGCTGATCTTTCAGAAGCAGATCACCAGGCCTTTCTTTCAAGGTGCCTCTGGGTAGACTCGAACCTCCAAACCTTTGGTAAGCATCCAAGCACGTTAACCATCTGCACCATCCAGGGACTCCATCAGAAGAAAAAGGCTGGGTTATACAGCAAGAGCCATTCAAGCCAGGCAGAGAAACGTGTACCTTACGTGGTAGGCTCTGAATGACTGGCTAGGAGGAAGGCAGGTAGACCAGGTAGGAGGCTGCTGCCACGTGAGATGGTGAGGCCTGGCCCAGGGCTGCCCTTGTGTTAAAGAGGAGCAGGGACATTAGCAGAACTGGCTAGGCTGAGCATGCGTCTCTGACTGGGCTTGGAGCCTCTTTTTGTGCAAAGCTAATTGGATCCCATGGGCATTAAATTCCTGACCTGCGTCTCGTTAGCACATGTCCTCCCCATTGGAGCTAACCAGCGTGGGTGCTCAATAGGTTGCTATTTTTGCTGCTGGAGATTGAAAGAAGTGTTTAGTTTCTATATGGCCACACACAGAAATAGGTGAAACTTTACAATGGCTTTTCTACCTTATTATTGTTACCGTAAAACGTGAGTATTTTGAGAAAATGTCATATTGTTCACATTTTTCTCTTCCTTACTATGTACTAATATGGTCTGGCCTTGGAGTAAATGGGTCTAAGTTCTCTTAGAGAAGATAAATTTCAGAAGAATTCCATGAAATAATGGATTTACCTTGTTCACATATTAATTGAACCTACTACCCAGATCTATACATGAAAAGACTTGAAAACATCAAAGTAGATTTCTTTAAATACTAACTTTTAATTTAGACATTTGCCATAATGTAGACAATGCTGTTTAATCTACACAACACACAGTACAGTGAAACTCTGGCAATTATTCTATTCACTTGAATCGTATAAAAAGTCACAACAGAAAATTAGGATTACAAAGTGTTTTCTCGGCCCGAATACTTGGGCCAAGTCTTTAATTAACTGGCTGACTGCCCAAATTCACTCTACTTTGTCATTGACGACATAGGCAATGAGAACAACTGAGCTATAAGAAGACAGTTTTGGGATGGGACAGAGAATTATTTTTTGAAATTAAGCACTTAGTCATTGGGTTTTGATTGGGTGTTCCTGGCTTCATTTTAAATCTCTTCATATTCTGAATGTACTTGTTTGATCAAATTTTAATTTGCTTTAAAAGGCCACATGAACCAAAGTTAAACATTAAAGTGCCTGGAATTGTTTAAAGCAGTATTTAAAAAAATGAACAAAGCAAATCTTGATTTAAACTTAACGGATCACATAAGGTCTTTGCAAGCTCGTATAGTGGTGAGAACTGCCCATTGGTCTGGCGGCCTGAGCTATGCCCAGCTGCACGTGCATGTGAAGGGGGATGGGGGACCACTGCATGAGGTCACAGTGACTGTCATCACCCAGATGTAGGCCACCTAGGTAGAGAACTGTCAAAAGCATGTGATACTAGCTCAAGTAGGGAAGGGTGTTGGGCTTAAACAGTTACTATGGGACAACAATCTTTAAAAGGTAGTGAATATTACAAGATGAGGATCAACAAGCATTTGATAAAGAGGTGCTGTTGGAGTCCCTGGGTGGTGCAAATACTTAATGCGTTAAGTTGCTAATGGAAAGGTTAGAGGTTTGAGGCCACCCAGAGGTACCTCTGAAAAAAGGCCTGGCAATCTACTTTGGAAAAAATTAGCCACTGAAAACCCTGTAGAGCACAGTTCTACTCTGACAGACATGGTGTTGCCATGGGCTGGAGTCACCTCGATGGCAACTGTTTTGTTTTTGTTTTTTAAAGAGGAGCCATTAACAGACCCACTAAATGAAACGGTGAGAAAAACAGATACAAAATGGTGCCGTGTCAGTCAGAGAAACAACAAGGCTGCAAGGCCAGCTGCACCTGCTATAAACAGATTAGCACAGCGCGGCGCTGAAGAGCGTGGACTTCGGCGCAAGGATACCAGGGTTCACAATCTTGGCTGTTCTGCTTACTAATTTTGTCACCTTGGGCAATTTACTTAACTATACTTTTCTCAGTTTCCCCATCTATAAAGTGGGGGTAATTATAGTCACTACCTCACACAGCTGTTATGAGATTTAAATTAGTTAACCTTTGTAACACAGTTAGAGCAGCACCTCCCATAAATAAGTGCTCCAGAAGTATTTATTAAACCAAGAATAAATTGTCCTGAACCACGCAGAAGGCAGGAAACCACAGGGATTGCCCAATAACACTTTCCTGGCCAAGTGACGCTGACACAGGCTGCACCTTCTTGATACCATATCCATTTAAGAGCATGTTCTCTATAGGGTTCTCTTTGATTTGATATTGTGTGTGTCGGGAGCAAAGGAGGAGAAGTGAAGTACTAGGGAGATGATCCTGGGAGAAGGGAGGCTATTCAAGATAGCAAAGGTTGGCTGTTTTCCTCATGTTGTAGGCACATGCTTGCATATTTGAGCTTCTTCCATTAAGGGGGACTAGTACTCAGTTTACTGGATTAAACATACTGTCTCCTAAATTATCAAAAAAAAAAAAAAATCCCTAATACATTCCACAGTTACTATATAATGCCTTGCGCCTAGTAACTGGAGTTCATTAGTACTTAATGCAGAAAGCAAAAACCAAGCTTCTCAACTATTAGGGTCTGCCTTCTTGGGCAGAGCAAATGGTTAACCTGTTTGGCTAATAACTGAAAAGGTGGCAGTTCGAGTTCACCCAGAGGTGCCTTGGAAGAAAAGCCTGGTGATTGGTGATCTACTTCTGAAGAATCAGCCACTAAAAACCCTATGGAACACAGTTCTACTTGGACACACATGGGGTTGCCATGAGTAGGAATTGACTCAGTGGTAACTGGTTTGGTTTTCTTTAAGTAAGTGAATTCTCATATTGATACCAAAGCAAAATAAGAAACCAAAGCAAGAAATAGAATTTTGCCCTAGTAATATTGTATCCCCAAAGAGCAGCAGGTCTAGTATATCCTCTGACCCAGGAGAGACACATGGGGCCTGAGTCAGGCAGTCGGGCTGGAGGCACCAGATCCCAAGGCCACATACACCTTGGTACAAAGTGGGTCTTCAGTATATCTTTGCTGAATTTGGAAAATGAATTAAAAATAATAATAACAAAGCATCCTGAATATGTCCCTTAATAGCTATGTGATGTTTCTTGAGATCCATTCTAACTTCGCTTATTTTCTAGTCTATCTTGGGAATCACTTCAAAGAAAAGGTTGGGAGGGAAAAAAGGAATATTGACCAAGCAGAGGAAAGGTAGCTTAGAAGCTCAATAAGGACGAATTACTTAAAAGAAACTCTTTTTATGGCTTTTTGGACTGGCAGTTGTCTGACAAATGGTACACAAGAACTATGAGGTCCTCACAAGAACCAACAGAAAGCAGACTAGTCTGTGTTACAGGAATGGCTCCCAATCAATCACATCTCCCAGTATCAATGTTCCTGTGTGTTTCCCTTCCACACTGACTCAACTGGCCATGTGACTTGCAGTGATCAGAGATGATGTCAGCAAAGGCCTGAAGAGCACTTGTGCACTGGGCTTTCCCTCTGGGATGCTGTCCTGTGATCACCTAACTGTGAAGAAGCCAAAATGAAAGGCCAGGTGGAGCAAGAGGCCCAGCCAACGCATTGGCTCAATGCAGCTGCATGAGTGAGGCCAGGGGGACCAGCAGAAAAACTTCTTAGCTAACCCACAGAACAGTGAGAAATAATAAAGTGTAATTGTTTGCAGTCACTAAGGTTTGGGGTGGTTTATTATGCAGCAAAGTTGAGAGAAAGCTGCCTCTACCACAGTAAATAAATCAAATCCTAAAGCTTTTACAAATGCAATCCAGTCTAGAGTTGCAAAGTCTGGTCACATAGAGATATGTGATGGTAAGAAGCTGTGGTATTCTGTAGGGTTGTTCCACATGGCAAAAAACCCCAGTTACTGTTGAGTCAATTCTCACTCAAGGCAACACCATGTGTGTCAGAGTAGAACTGTGCTCCATAGGGTTTTCAGTGGATGATTTTTCAGAAGTAGATCAGCAGGCTTTCTTCCAAGGTGCCTCTAGATGGACTCGAATCTCCAACCTTTCGGTTAGTAGCCTTTGCACTACCCAGGGATTCCGTCCCACATAGCAAAGATGGAGATTCTCCATGTCCTGTCCCCCAACCCTCAAGTCCCCTGACTTTCAATGGAGGTAAGTAATTATTACCACTTGGCTCCCTCCCTAAGTAGAAAAATGTTAGTGACCTCTCGCGAAGTCCGTATTCTTTGGAAAAGTACAATATTTAAGTGTCTCCCAAGGAAAAGCTCATATTTTGCCAGCCACTGACCATCAAATGCCAACTTTCTTAAGCTCTAATGTCATTATAATAATACTTGAGAGAGAATAAAAAACTGCTTTTTATTTGACTATACAATAGTTCTTTTTCCTTTTTGGTTGATAGAGGGAGAAATACTTAAAGTTGAAGTGATGCTTGATCTATGGCAACTGAAATTACAAGCAACTGATCCAATGAACAGAGCATCGAGGGTTGCGTTCAAAGGAGCAAGAAGCACTGTTAATTAGAGACTGATCACTGCTTGAAGAGGGGGCTGGTAGAGCCAGGCTGGCCATCCCATGCTAACATTCCTTTGGTTCCACCATCACAGTGCACCCCAGTCTTCCTCGGCACTGCTTAGCAACACCGGCTCCACTCCACAGTGAATCTGACAAGTGCTGGAAAAAATGGCTCCTTCAGAGCCTGCCACAATTGGCAGCTCCACTGAGAATGGGTTAGTGGCTTTGCCCTAAAGGGGCTAATGTTGTTTAGTATAGCCCCATCTTATTTATGGACTGGCCCCTTCATAAGGCTTTTCATGTGAAGAGGAAAATTAAAGCTTTATGATCAAAGGCATTCCATATTTCAAAGATATATACAGATAATCATAACCTTCCTTCCCAGTCTCTCTCACTAGCAAGGGATGGTCTTCCCCTTACTATGAACACAGTGAAGGAGACTAAAACAGCCTGTCCAAGCTCATCCTTTTTATCGTCTCAGCAGAGGCCACTGCTATTACAGTTGATCCTAAAAAGGACTGTATTTATCATGAAAAATCTGAGGGAAGTTTGATCAACTATAGCAGGAAACCGCATCTGTTACCACATAAGATCTACTCAGATACTATAAGGGTAGTCTTTACTTTCCAGCTTCTCTTGAGACCTCTACACCAATCAGGAGGTCAGTGCTACTTCCTAACTGCAGGAATATACATTGTTGATAGAAAATTCTGGAAGGAGAGCACAGAGCAACAGTGGAAGCATAACTGTATTTCAGTGGCCCTCTATATTACCAAAGAGGTGACTGCCTCACAAAAGCTAGTTCTTTTGTAATTTACCAAGCTAGGGAAGCTCTGCAGTTGGCTACTATTGCATTTCTTTGGCTATTACTTTGTAATGTCTCAATGGCTCCCAGGGCACATTTCTTGACCTGATGCTAAAAATCCCCTCCAACCAGGCTATTTAGCTTTTCTGACTCCATGAAGTACTAGTTTATGAAGTAATGGCTTGGGGTAACTACAACTATAGCTATATTTGCTATTTTACTCTCAAATTTTTAAAACTGTCAGTTAAGGTAAATCCTGGTTGCCCCATCCATCCATCCACCCACCCACCCACCCACCCATCCATCCATCCACCTATCCATGAGCCCCCACTGTAAACTGATTTGTGTGAAAGACCACGAAAGAAATAAAAGGCATGTGTCCTGGCCCATCAAAGTCCAGGCGGCAAGTCAACATGTCTTCGAAGTGAAAAAAAAACTTTTTTTTTTTTTACGAGAGCAGGCAATGATAAGGTTGGTAAGGGATTTTTCCTTTACTTTAACCATCTTCCTTCTCTTACCTTGCTCTGATGGGTTGAGATCCTAGTCTGGGTCCCAGAGCACTACCGTTTCCAGGAGAATTCTTTCTGGCTAACGCTGGGGATATAGAAGTTGTTCTTTGAGGCACCTGGAAGAAAACCAGAATTTAGAAATATTTTCCATAACATAATTTCTATAGGCTACTGCCTGAAAAGCCTACTCCCTTCCCAAGATTTGCTAGGAGTTACAGATATTATCTAAAACGGGAAAATATCTTTCATTCCTCAATGAAATATTTATCTCCCTAAACAAAACCAAACAAGGGTCAACTGACACAAAGCAATGAAGCACATTCAGCAACCATTCAGAAGGGTCATCCCCAATTTTAAAGACAGATAAAATAGGATCAAACTTATTAGTTTAAATTATTTGATTCACTGGGCTAAAAATAATTGATCTCCATTGAATCTACTGGTGAATACCAGAAATCTCTTCGGGGTACCATTAACTCAGTTCATCCTTAGAAGCTGCAACAGATGTGTGCCATCCACATAAAGCCAAGCTCCATTTTTAGCTCTTCACAACTGATAAACAGAGAAGGAAATGAGGAAATCTAGTGAGAAACTAGGGTATCAGGCCAGAACTTGGGACATAAGCCACATGCCAGGGAGCTCAGAGAACCTACTGCAATAGATCCTGAGTGTTTCTACTTCCTAATTAACTTGCAATTACTAACTGAAAAACAAAACAAAACACTGTGGCTTGGAAGGTCAATTTACAAATGTAGTACAAAACAGGACTAATACTGAAAATACTGGAAGGGTCTTCAATAATACTGTGAATACCGCTAAGACTGTGAGGAACAGTAGGAAAATATATTACTAGCTCATCTGGCAAGGGGCTAAGGTAGAATTCAAGTATATAAATATTTTTAATGAAATTAAATATAAGTGAACCGAGTTCAGTATTTAAAGGAATCAAATTATGAATCCTAGTTAAAAAATTACTTTCAATGTAAATCATCATTCTTTATCTGTTTTATAAAATTAGCTTTTTTATTGTAATTCAATTTAAGATGAAGACCTAAAAAGATAAGTCACTGAAATGAAGCAGAATGACCAAGTCAGTGCTATCACCTGCTCAGATTAAATGTCACTACTACTGTTTTTTCCTTTTTCCTTTGATAAACTTAAATAGCTGTACAAAAGAAAAAGCCTAATGAATTATTAAAACCTGAAATCTTTGAAATGATCTAAAATTTCCTCCTAGCTTTATAAATGCATATGTATGTGTTTTCAGACAGCATCTGCCCCTCTGCCCACCTTATTTTTCATATTGAACCTTGCTCCCTACCTAAGCTTTTCTGATGGCATCTCTAGTTCTACAAGGAGCAAACACCAGCAAAAAAGCCATGACCATCTGTATTCGTTTTTAAAACAGTGGAAATCCTGTTATAATATCCTTTTGAGGGGGGAAAACCAGGAAAAATATTTGAAAACCACCGAGCGAAAACTATTATATTTTCTGAAATAGACAACAGCCTTGTTTTCTGGAATTGTTGGGAATTTCCTTTTGCTAGAGTCCTTATGCTGAGCTCAGAAGAAAGGAAATTCCTGAACCAGGAAGAGCCCAATGGAAAAATTTATCTAGTATTTAACAAAATTTCAAATTCTCAGTGGGATTCAGACTTTCTGGAGCCATTGATGCTGGATGAACCCCTGAAACTACCGCCCTGAGATAATCTTTAAACCTTAAACCAAAACTATACCCTGAAGTCTTCTTTAAACCAAAAATAGTTTATCTTAACAAGTAAAGCATGTCTGCCTTTAGCATTGTGTTCTTTTAAAGAATTACGTATTGAGATCAAACTGACAACAGCAACTTGAAAGGTTAGATGAGAAGCTTAGGGGGCAGTGAGTTTAAATCAATGGTGGTAGAACAATTTGGAGAAGAATGGCGAGAATGTTGGCACAACTTGAAGAATGTAACCAATGTCATAGAGTGGTACATGTAGAAATTGTTGAAATGGTGTATAACTGTATATTGTCACCAAAATTAAAAAAAATATATAAATGAAAAAAAATTATCTGGTATTTTGCAAGACTTTCAGATTGTTTGTAGCCATATATACAGTCCTGGAATAACTACTGATTTGCTATAAGCAAAAACAAAACAAAATAACCAAATCTAGGACTGTTCTGTCCAGTGGGATGGCTGGTCATTCCACCCTATAATTTTATCCTCAGTAATTAATGAAGGTTAGAAGAAAATTATGACCTGTTTTAAAGAAGCTTTCCTTAATGGTGCCAACTAAAATACCCTAAGATCAATACTATCTTTTGAACACCTGAAATATAGTTTTACTTTGTGTTGATAAAAATAGGAATAATTGAATTTTCTTTTTATTTGGGAGTTTTCAATCTGCCTAGCCATAGATTTAGGTGGCAGTGAATACATATATTATTCTATTTCTTAATAGGGGTAGCAAGATCATGGTTTGGATATATACTTCCCAGTCATTCAACTACCTGAATCTAAACGTCAAAGAAATTTTCTCAACTTCTTTGGGGAAAATGATAGATGACAATCCAATCCTTAGCTATGGGATGAGGAAGGACCAAAACAGATGGGAAGGTGCTTTGACATTATCACATTCTTCATTACGATGGCAGGTTTGGAACAGTGGTGATGATGAAGACGATGATGATGATAAAAACACCCCGGCAGTATTACCTTTGGTGGAATGTCTTCTTCCTGTCGTAACCAAGAGCTTCGGTCAAACTTTTCAATGCGAGTAGGAAGAGGAGGGTTCTCAGAGGTGGGATCCGAGTTCTGGCGTGGCATCTCAATGCGGTGCGAGGTCACATTCAGAGCCTCCTGAAAGCCAGAGAGACCTTTTGTGGGCTGCTCATGCACTGACTGGGAGGCGGTCAAGGCAGGTCCCTGGGATTTCACAGCCACCAAATGTGGGATCTAAGCATCAAACCAACAACAGAGCAGTGACATTAGAAGATAAATCAAATCAGCCAGTATCTCAATCAGTTGAAGGGCAAATCAAGCTCTAGGGCATGAGAACTGGACTATATAGCCTGTCACAGCTATTTATAGCAAGTTTTTAAAAAGCTCTTCCTAATTTTCAATTTAGAGCTGTGTTTAGGGCTGAAGTAGGGTCCCTGGCACCAAGTTGAATATTTACTTGGGACTGCTAAGAAGTTAGTAAAATAAGTGTGATGATGATAACAATAACTATATTTAGTAAGCATTTATTGACCAGCAATGCAATGTATTTTACAGGGACTTCTCTTTTAATATGACAAACTTTCTCCTTTAAAACTTCAAACCTTGACTTTACAGAGTGCTACTGCTCTGTAAAGAAAGAACTGTACTAAATTTTTAACACACTAAGTCCACCAAAAAGCAGACACTTTATTTTCCTCATTTTACATGTGAGTAAAATAAGGTAGAGAGGTTAAGTAACGGCCTAGATTTCACGGCTAATGTGTGTGGGAGCCTGAATTTGAACCAGGCTTTGGGGACTAAGGTGTGCCTGACCCAAGACATGGTATTTTCAGTCATCTCATATGCATGTGAAAGCTGGACAGTGAATAAGGAAAACAGAAGAACTGATGCCTTTGAATTACAGTGTTGGTGAAGAATATTGAATATACCATGGACTTCCAAGAAGTACAGCCAGAATGTTCCTTAGAAGGGAGAATGGCGAGACTTCATCTCATGTACTTTGGACATGTTATCGGGGGGGACCAGTCGCTGGAGAAGGACATTATGCTTGGTAAAGCAAAGGAAGACCCTTGAGGAGATAGACTGACACAGTGGCTGCAACAATGGGCTCAAACATAACAATGATTGTGAGGATGGTACAGAACCCTGCAGTGTTTCATTCTCTTGTACATAGGATCGCTATGCATGGGAACTGACTCGATGGCACCTAACAAAAACAACATTGTACCCCCAGAGCTCACATGCCTAACTCTGCTTTCTGGTAAATGTCTCGCTGCTGTTGTTGACCCACTGTCTCACTACCTATGGTGTTATGTATCTTTCAACACCAGTACGTTCCTTTTAGAGTTGTGGGTCTCCCAACTGGGCACGTGTTGATATTGTTCCTGCAAGGAAGACACATCGTTTTTTGGTGGAAATGTGGCTTTTAAAGACAAATCATTAAAGTCTAGAGTGCAGTGTCCTCCTCCCTCCCCTGATAGCACTCTTCACACTTTCTTGTTAGTGCTCATTTAATGCCTGTCTCTTCCCACTTCATGATGGTAAGCTCCCTGTGGACAGGAGCCATGTCTGTCTTGCTCCTCATTGTATCTCTGGATTTAGGACATGTCTAGCATGTGGGAGGTGTTCAATAAATCTTAACTGGACAAAAATCTACCACACTTTCTAAATTGAATTGTTAATTCAACAAATACTCATTTAATATCTGCTTTGTATAAGGGACCTGTCAGATTCTTCTCTGGTCTGAGATATCAGTGTTAGGATGTTACTAATTACACTTCAGAAAAAATCTCCAAAGTCTAGCTCTGCTGAGTGTTTGCATCAACCTGAAATATTAACTTTATATTAATTAATGTTAAATATCACTAAATATATGTTAGTATTAAAACAATGCACATTTAAAAAATATCTAGTATAAAACACAAACCCACTTTAAAAGGGCCAAAAAAAAAATTTTTTTTTGAAGTAGTTGAAGAATACTTACCCCAATTAGTTATCACGGGATATCTACATTTTCATTTTCCTAGGGTCCTTTCCACAACATATGTTTTCCCTCTCTACTTTTGCTTTTTACAGGGCATAAGTGCTCTATAAAGTCAAAGTCAGATGTTTTAAAAGACAAAGCTTGGGTGTTAAAAAAGAAGTCCCTATAAAAATGTGTCCTACTGTAGGTGAGACATGAAAGAATTATATACAAATAAAAACAACCGAGCGGAAGATAAGCTAAGCTGACCAGTGCTGAAAAATCTTGGACCTCATTTATTAAATGCAAATTTTAAACTCCAAGAATACCTGGTATCATCACTACTCTTTTAAACTCCTGTTCAAATAGCATTACATTTTCAAACGTGACCTCAAAATATTTTGTGGAAGTTTTAAAATGTGGTAGATGTCTGAAAGAAATTTATTTTTCATGGAATTCCACACCTGATTTCACTTTATATTTCATTTCAAAAGTCCTCTAGAACTTCCAGACACTTCCTCCTCTCATGAAAGTGGAGTAATATTTTTCTTTCGAAATTGCTTAAAACAGTGGCTTTCAAACTCTGAAGTGCATCAGAATCACCTGGTGAACTGGTTAAATCACAGATTGCTATGCCCCACCCCAGAGTGTCTGATCAGGTCTGGGGTGGGCCTGAGAATCTGCATTTCTATAAAGTTCCAGGGTGATACTGATGCTGCTGGTCCAGTGACCACACTCTGAAAGCTACTGACTTAGAAAACAGAATTTAATGTTTCCAGTTTCAGGCTAATGTCAAGATCCCATAGAATAAAGACAATATAATAGCTACCATATAACAAAGGTACTTAAGAATTTTAGTTTTGGTGATTATAAACGGATGCTTGTTTTCACTCTGCAGAAACGCCTGTGGGTCTCCAGAGAGGCCAACTGACCAAGAAATGACTTTGTGGTTGACTTTACATTAAGGATGGTGCTTTTTTCCTTCTCAGCCCTTCCTCTACCCTTCAAATTCAGTGGGACCTTCTATATTACTGTATGTTATATTTTAAGGGCTGAGATTTGATTGGTTACAACCTCCTGGGTTTTTAATAGGTTTTACTCTACATCCTATTGTAATGCTTGGTGGAATGAAGGGGAGAATGTACCTGGGGATCCACTGGTCTGAGCATGGGGGGTGTCCGAGCAGGCTGTACCCCACTAATGCTGAAGGACTCCGACCTTGGGGGCAGGCTGGGGTCAGATATCCTGTTGGCAACCTTGTGAGGCATGGCAGGTGAACTCTGTCGGTTGAGCCTTGAACGTTCTTCTACCTAGAAGCAATACAAAGAGAACCCCAATGGACAGAAGTCAATTCATTTCCTAGCAAGGACTTCCTGCAGTTCCCTGCACAGCCATTTTTGCGACCCTCTGATCAATTCATTTTAAGAAGCCAAAAATCTTCATTCCTGCTCTGCATCTAGAATTTGAAAAATTCTCTTTTCTATCAGAGCAAACACTTAGCAACAAAAAACATACAAAGCCCAGACTATCATCTTTCCATTATCCACTACCTTTAGCTATTTCAGGTAGCTGGGAATTTGGGATCAGCTGAAGGGTTTATCTTACATTGATTGGGATATTACCTTGCTGACTGGTCCCAAAGCCATGGGGTAGACAGTCTGCACCACAGATAATCAGAGGAAGCTGTGGTAGGCATTAAGATTGCTTGGGGAAAATAGAAAATTGCTTTGGGTTGGTGTGCTCCCTGACTCATAGGATAGGGAGGGGAAGAACAATTGGCGGGCTGAAGAGATGATGAAGTTTGATGCACTAACCCTCCATTTCTTCACATGTCCCACTGACAGGCAGGTGGGTGTTCGTGGCAGCATCTTAACGAGCATGGCCTGTCTTAAGCAGACTTCCTGTATTATTTTCTTTTTGTCTTTTGGGGGCACTTTCTCTTCAGTTGTCTCTCCCTGCTCCCAAAAATACATTGCTCCTCCTCATTCTTTCCATTTCCAATGGGGACTCCACTGCCTCACTCTCCCCTTTCTTCCTCCCTGTTTCTCCATACATGCGTTCATTCTTGCTTCTCCTCCTCTTCTCCCCCAACTCCAGCCCACTCTCCCCTCAGGCCATTTCATCTCCTTGTCATTTCCCTCCTTCCAGAATCTCTCTCAGCCCCAAACAGATAACTGATCTGAAATGCTACACTGGGAAGTCTCACAGGGAAGCACTATCAGAGACAGTCCTTTCGACAGGTAAAAATTACCCTCAATACACATGTATGGCAGGCAGACTGTCACAGGAGACAATTTTAAAGGGAAATTTAGATAAACAAGATGGACACAGCAGAACAGATTTGAGATCTTCAACAACTTCAAGAGACTGAGGATTTTTCTTCCAGATCCATCCTATCCTGTCCTTCATTTTTTTTTCTAAGCGTCAATTTGACTGTTTATTTTCCAAATCCACCAAGACAATGCAACTGTTCTCTGCGCCTTGCTGAGCCTTCAGTGAGCCTCTTCTGTTGACTCATCGTCTGAGTATTGTGAGATCCTGCCTGGGAGCCCACATGTAGGTACTAGATATTCATGTCTGTCTACATCTTTTGTGTAGCAAGCAGCTGAGGGCCTTTACTCCTTTTACTGCCCAATTTGAAGTAAAAGTTCAAAAGAGCTATTTGTTCTGATCTCTTTACCCCATTTTGAATCTTTCTAGAGGCAGACTCAGTCTCATAGACAGAATAAGTCTGTTTCTTAAATTGTCTTATTACCCCAAAACATTTTAACACATAGATACAGGACAGAAAAGAAAATAGCCCTCCTGTCACTCCTCAGGGGTAGTTTAAACATCTCTTCCCCACCATGACTGTGCAGGGAATGTACAATTAATTGTCATACAGTTGACTTTGGTTTTGAAATACCACGTCCCAGGAGCTTACCACATACCAAATGAGGTTAGCTGCAAAACGCCAGGAATATAAACCAGAACATGTATACTTTGTGTGTGTGTATGCATGCAAAGTACTACACCAGCAATAATTATCTGACTACTGGACTATTGCACTGGGCAAAAGAACAAAGCAAGCTTTGAGATACCACTACAAAGAAGAGGAAATACTGCAAAGACAGCAATAGATAAACTGGACCAAGGCATGCACTATATTCCTTTTCCAAATACCAGACTCACTGGAAAGAAGGTAAATATTTCCAGGCAACTGGAATTGGTCAAATATTAGCCATTTCCTTATTTCCAGGGAAGACTGTTCCTATATAAATCACATGTACAAGTACCCCTCACTATCTGAACTTCTGCTGTCCAAACCATTGTTGTCTGAGCTCAAGAACTTGAGATCCAGAGACATTTTCAGATAAATACCTGACTACTCTAAACTCTAGTCATTTGTTACTTGAAATTCAGCAACCAAATATATTCAGATAGCAAAGAATACTTGTGTTATTATTTTGAATTGTAAAATACACTCAGATGGCTTAAACCATACAATAAGAGAAAGCACATTAAAAACAAAAGTAGAAAAGTCTGCCCCAAAAGACTCCACCTTAAACAAAGAAGCTATCCTGAGACAAAGAATTCTTTTGGCAACTGCCAGAATCAAGACCCCGCAAAGGAAGCGGCCTCACCTCTGACAGCTCCCAGTCTCACAGGGCCTAAAGCTGTTAGTATATAACGAACAGGGCAGAAAGTGGAACACAGATTTCCATAGGCATTTCATGGGTTTCATTAGACATGTACAGTTGTTACTAATGTACTTCTATTAGAGAAATGACAAGGAACCCAATGTTTACTAAAAGTCCTACCATTAGTGTGTTTCAGTCTGTATCATTCTAAAATACACAAGATAAATAATCTAATATATATATATATATAAACTCCAAGTCCGTTGCCATCGAGTTAATTTCACAACTCATGGTGACCTCATATGTTACAGAGTAGAACTGATTCATAGGGCCATCTTGGCTGTAATCTTTACAGAAGCAGATCACCAGGACTTTCTTCCGCATTGCCACTGGGTTGGTTGAGTAGTTGCCAACCTTTAGGTTAGCAGTCACATGCAAACTATTTGTGGCATTCAGGGACCTAATCTATTATAAACTTTGCAAATTATTTCAGGATGGTCTAATGTGCTGAAATTATCCAGGCTGGAGTTTGTCCAAAGAAATGTGAAAACGTCCGAGAAGGATGCAACAATGAGGTATCTGGCAATACACGTTGTCTCAAGATAACCTTGCTCTAAAGTCTTTAGGAAGATAACGCTGCCCAAGTGCTTTTGCACCAAAGGAACATCTTAAGTATTGGAACAAAGATACCAAATCAAATGCTGGAAGAGGTGCTTTTCCTGATAACAGTTTCACAGATGGACAGAGGGAGAAAGCTGGATAGTGTATCTAGGAATGTGCCCTTCAGATTATTTTAATACTGGGTGAAGTCCTGTCCCCTGAATCATCACAACTTATGTCTCTTAACTGAATAGGAGATGGATGTGTGAGAAAAAAAAAAAAAGTTTTGTTTTTTCTTCTTTTCAGACATAATCCAGACAGGTTTCAATCTGCCTTATAGGATATCCAGGAAAGCCTGTCTATCAGACAAGCCTCTGCTCCAGCCTCCTGCTGCCAAGAAGACAAAGTACCAGCACCACCAAAAAAAGCGCTCTGGTAGTGTCAGACATAGAGTCGAAGTGCCAGAACACAACAAGAAAGGTTACCTGTTATAAAGTATTTCCTAGTTGAAGGGAAGATGAGATTGTCCATGAATACTGAGAACAGGATTAGAGGAGACAGATCAATTTCATTATAAAAACAATTTTTTTTTCCTTAAAAGAATCATTTTAACATCAAAACTAAAATAACTTTGGAGAGGTCTGGATCATCTCTGTGGAAATGTCATACTACTTATTATAGTGTTCTAGGGAGTAAGAAAAAAATGGTCTCAGAGATAAACTTCTGCTCCAGGAAGATGTGTTGTCCATTGGCCAAACAAACATAGAAGGCCGGAAAATACATTTTTTGATTACAAGGTTTCAGAAAAATCTTCAAAATAAATAAAAATCTATTTAAACATGCATAAAAAGAAGCATTTTATCAATGAAAATTGTTAAATTTTTTGACAAATTGAAAATAATTTGCAGGCTACAATGTCTCACTTTGCAATAATGAATATTTGCTGAGAAATAAAATTACAGGAATAGTTTCAAAAATGTTGACAGTGAAAATACATTTACTATGTCATATGGGTGCATTTTAATAATGTTTTATATGGTGTAGGGTGGGTGGGGTCTGTGAATGTTCTAGAAGGTTTTACTGAAGGGTTCATGTATGGTGAATTGAATGCAGTCATAGGGGAATTCCTTTGTTCTTTCTAACTGCACAAAACGGTTTGATTTTTGTGTTTACTGGCAACTCTGGAGAAAGGGTGAGAAGTCAGTAAATAACTTCTAGGTGCTCTTTAGGTACTTTGACCCTGTACTCACTGGCCCCATAAAAAGCTGAGTCATAATGTCCTTTGGCAAAACCACATGGGCAGATGGTTACAGAGCAAGATGGGGATGTCCCTTCTCTGGGCACCCTGAGGACAGGGGAGACTCTCAATCATATGGAATGTTAAAAATGCAATCTTGTCTCAAGATCAAGGGTCTGGAGTAATTTTTCAAGATCCACTCCCAATCAGTGATTCTGGAGGGAAGTATAGATCCCCACATGAATGGAGCACATCACTTAAAAATAATGAAGATATCCCTTAGCAAGCTGAGATGGGAAATGAAAAGGATACATCTGTCACTGGGGAGAGGTGGGTGGAGATGATGGGAAATACCTGTGAACTGGCCATGTGAAATCTAAGCAGGAAATAACAGAGACAAAACTCTTACTCCTTTTGGGCTATGACAGCCTTGAAAACAAAACATAAATATGTTGAATAATATACAGGCACTTCCCGACTTATGACAGGGATCTGTTCTGATGACTCCGTCATAAGTTGGTTCTGACTTAAGTCAGATACCTCTTTTTTGTTGTTTTCATTATTATTGCCTTTTATTATCAGCATCTTTATAAAGCCGATCTTTCACTACCTGCAAGTGAACATCTGAGAATGATAACATTTAGCAAATTACCCGCTTCAACACTGTATGCAGTACGCATTACTAACAATAAACCCATAAACCAAATCCGTTGCCGTCAAGTCGATTCCAACTCATAGTGACCCTATACGATAAGATGTACAAAACAGACCGTTGTCGTAAGTTGGGGACTACTTGTATTTCATCTGCATTTGTACAGTGCCTAACGATCAGCTGGCACATTCACGGACGTTATTGCCCATGATTCTCCCAAGTGTGAGAAGGCAGTGCAGATGAAGAAGCTGAGCCCCAGAAAGCTAGACTTGCCCCAGGTCCTACAGCTAGAAAGAGGAAGAATTTGAACTCAAACATTTTTCTTAGTACTTCCTTCTAGGTTCCTCTTACCTGAAATCTTAAGAGAGATAAGCAGAAATTAAGGAAAGATGGGAGCACAGCTGTAAACTCTGTATGGTAATTTGGGAACCTCACACATACAGTAGATCACACAAAGAGAAAAAATACATTTATACAGAGCAGAGAAATGGGAATAAAGGAGCTTTTATATATAGGGACTTCAAAGTCCAATGGGCTTGTGGAAAATAAAGAGACATCTTGGCTCTCATCTGATTGTTATTTGTCAAATAAAACTGAGGCCAGATGACTGGCATGTATCACCAAGTGTCAGAAAAAATTAAAATGCAATCTCATCTAACACTCATGTAGACAGAATATTCCGCCACTGCTACAGTTGATGCAAAATAAAAAAGGAAGTGTGTGAGTGTGTGTGTGTGTGTGTGTGTGTGTGTGTGTGTGTGTGTGTATTGTGTCTGTGAAGTGGCAGGGGAGGGAGGGGGTGAACAGCTGTTGTCAGGTCCAGACAATCACATGACATTTTAAGGACTAGAAGAAAGAAGAAAGGAATCTCCATTCAAAATGTGATGGGAGGAAAAAATCCTCCAAATTCTGCTGACGTTTAACAGGCCATACTGATGTTTTCACCAAACAAATCTGACTTCCATCCCAATCCAGAAGTGGCAGGTAGATTTAGACCAAGTATTACCAGCCCAGTGAGTGAATCCAAATGGAACACGAAAGGGATAAGGATCTCTCTCCCCCATTAACACAGAGATATTAATGTTTCTTTCTGGCTGAAATCCGAAAATCAAAGCCAAAGTGACATTCAGGACAGATAGAATTCTCAGTAAAAGAAGGCAGAGGAGGGCTCATTAAGATTTGAAAATGACTATTTTCATTTATTCTTACTGCAGTCAACAAATCAATGAGAAAGGTAATGAGAAATGCAATGTTTACTTCTGTTTTACAAAATGAAGACACAAAAGTACAAAGCATGAAGCATTATAACAACATTATACTGCTGATGAAAACTTGATTTGAACTAAGGAAGAGAAGAAGTAAGTGGATGGAAAAATATTCAAAGGAGAAAACCATCTTGATGAAAAGGTACAGAGATGAGTTAGAAAACAAATGATGGAGCAGATTACAGAAGAGGTTGAAATGGGTGGAAGGTGGCTGGCTGGTATCAATGGCACACGGGGCAAAAAAAAAAAAGTTCTAGCCCTGTATCAGAGGAGAGTGGTATGGGCATTGCTACCCACTCATCCCTGGTGAAGATAGTTTCAAATATATATCCTGGCAGAAGATCCATTTGAAAAACAAAATAGTACTTTTTATTTCACCTCCAAAAGAGAGTTTAATCCAGGTTGTTTCATCAGTTGATAATTAAGATGCTGGTAAGCTAGAAATTCTGTTCAGATCCAAAGTCTTAAAACATACGTTACTGTTTGGCTACGCTGAACCCCACCTACCTCCCTAGTGTAAGAAAAGAGATCTGCAATAATGCTTTAGAAGAAAAGTCTGTATATTGCTCATGAGAAGCACTGAAATATAAAGAAGATAACGATCTTCACACTCATTTTTATCAGCCTCGATAAGAAGCAGGTGTTTAAAATGATGAATCAAACCAAGGCAGACAATTATGTGCTCTTGTTTGTACACCAGTTGTTCCAATTCCCAATTTAGCCCTGTCACTCATTGTATCATCTTAATGTCTCATCTTTCTTCTAGAATATGGACACCCACTCTAAGACTTGGGAACTGCTTCGTGAACAGACCGATGGTTAGCTGGAAGACAGATAATGTTAACCATACCCAGGAGGATAGGACTAAATGTGAAATCCCAAAAGAATGTTCCCACACATGTATAGAAGTACACAAAGCCCAAAGGAAGAGCCCCATCTGCTAGGAAGATGGGAACCTGGGAAGATGTCACCCACCGGAGGTGGCCCAAACTTATGGTGGCCGGGGAACCTCACATCAGGAGTGCTTGCTGACACAGCCATGTTGTCTGCACGCCCAAGTGCTATGTGTCTTTTACTGCTAGGAGCTCGGCAAGGAAGCCTAGGGGAAATAGGAGGTCTAGAAAACTGGCTTGATGACGTCTGCAAATGCTTGCATCCAGGAATGCCATTGCTTCTGAAAGCCCGGGAACCATGAACTAATTGACTGAAGAGGATATGCTAGGAAATTTAGTGATGAGGACAGATAGTAACTAGAAAACAATGAAGTCAAAGAGGATAAATTCAAGTCCTCTGGGAAGAGGCTGAAGGAGGGGAGAGGAAACTGTTCCGTGCTCTTCCCCCTTTTCTGGCACATTTCTGCATGAGGGAGCTGCGGAGGGGAAAGATGGAATTCTCAGATGGTCTGCAAGGAAGGATGGTCCTCGCCAATGGGATTTGGAGCTGTCCCTCTCCTAAGCTCATGCTTGGGGCTGGGAACACTGAAGGCCAGGTGGTCACATGTCAAGGAGAAGTCACTTAGGAATGCAGTACTTCTTAGAGGGGTTGAGGCACTTGTAAATATGGGTGAATTCATGGCCCTCCTGGCCCAAGGTCCACGGGATTTTCTAAGGTCCTCCTTAATTCCACTAATGGACAATAGGGGGCTTGTCACTTTGGAAATGTTTGGAGAAGACACACAAATGACCTTAGATTCTAACCCTTGAGTTGGGCTACATCTCTGGGAGTGGGATCTCTCTGAAGATCTCACTATGGTCCTTGTGGCTTTCTGAGGCTTCAGTTGCTGTTCTTCAAGACCAAGTCTAATAGGACAAGCCAGTTCATTTCTCTTCTGTGAGTGATGGTCTAACAGGAGTCTTGATCTGGAATCATTAATCTCTGTAGGTGCTACTGGCATTAGCTTAGTAGAGGCTACTTTTTCAGCTTTCTGAACACCTGCCAAGGTCAGGAGCTGTAAGTCTGGCTTACAAAGGAGGTTAGCAGTGGGTGAAGGTGGTACATCTCTGCCAGCCAGGAAGCACGTGAGCTGCTGTTTGACAGCATAGTGATTCTGCTTAGCTGGAAGAACAGGTGGATTATCAAGGGGTTGTTGCTGTACCTGGGAGTAGGATCATAAAATTGAATTATTGACCTGAGAGAAAGAGGCAGCAATTACAAGCTAGTTAACTATGCATCATATTTATAGACTACAGGGGACAGTGATCATAAATATTCTCCACCCAGAATCAAAAGTGCTTCTCTATAGATTGACTTTTTTTTGAGTTTTGAAAGAAAAATTACTTTACTTTTTTAAAAAAGTACATCACCATTATAAATGATTAAAACAATATAAAAGTACAATTAAAAAAAAAAAACCCTACAAATTTTACCACCCATAAACAACCATCATTAATATTAGGATAACACCATTTCAAGCATTTCCTATATAATGTAACTATGAACAGAAAAATAAGAGAGACTGAAATTTGTTTTTTAATCAAAATAGTATCTGGTGATACAAATCTGGTTCTGGTAATGTTGTAGCCTAGACAACTTGAAAAAAGCGCGAGCTATAAATATCTGAAGATGTTAGATTATAACTACCTAAAGCAAAAACCAAAACCAAAAAATAAAAACCCCATCTTTTTAAGTGACTAGGTGAGCTGAGAGGAAAATAAAGGAAATCGCCATAAATAAAGGCCCCACAAGGGATGACAGAATTGAAAACCAGGGTGTTACCTGCATGAACTGACACAATGTCTTCCTGGAAGGGTGCCTGGTCTTGGCTAGAGTTATTACTTCGCTTGTTTGCTTTACCTTTGACTATCACTCACCTCCCCGGCTCCACCCCATCTAAACAATTTTTAATTAGATGTTTAAAATAGCTAATTATAGAGCTGAGTTCCTGAAAATCCTTCTTTAGTTTGGTAGTTGAGTGAATGAAGGACCATTACTTTGGAAGTATCTGCAAAAGAAATACAAACGACCTCTGATCCTAGAAGTGAATACTACAACCACCAGTGTGAGGTCGCCTGCGTGTTACTTAGCACCACAGAAGACCAGGGCAGCATTAGCGATAATGCTAACAATGAGTAACAGGGCCCATGTATGGCAGAAAATGACCCCACCTACAATTCCAGAGTCCTAAATCACATTTTTCCATAGAGTCTCTAAAAATCATCATACCACAAACTCCGCTGGACTCCTATAAAGAAAATGATTATTCTTGTTCCTGTTGTTGATTACAAAAATCTACTGGATACCAAGAACTACAAAAATAGCTATTTCTACAGAAAAATAGTTATGCTTCTTCCGAAGTAAAGTGCTAACTTTGCAGTACTGGTTTACCTGTCCACTTGTACTAGATGAACTCTTTATACCCAAATGCCTGGCCACCGTGGCTTGGCGACACTTTCTTACTTACCTCCTTGGCCCACGCTGGCTTCTCACTAGGACTCATCCCTTCTTTGTAATGGTACAGTGGCTTCTTCTCCACGGGCCTCTGTTCCTGCCGCTGATGCTGAAGGGAAACCAAGTAGTCCCTTTCTTGCTTTAGCTGTCTCTGCAGTCTTTCTGCTTGTCTCTGTTCTTCCAATTGTTTGCGCTTATATTCCTGAGCAGATCAGGGAAGGAAAGGCCAAATCACCATACAGAAACCACTGGCCAGGACCAGTTAAGCACGCAATGGAGGCAAGAGTGATGATAAATAACAAAGGACCTTAATACTAACAGAACTACAGGACGATGTCAGGGTGTGTCATGGATATAAGCTACAGCCTCAGGTTAGCATCGACACAAGAATGTGGGCATTTAATGAAAACACTGTTGCTTTAATGGACAGCCCCACAGAATACCGCCACTTGCAAAGTGACCTGTCCCTGATGAATTGCAACGGAAAAAGTGGGCATAACGAGGGCATCTGGATGGTCAGTACACAAGCCCTCTAAGGAGTCATCAGGTTCCTATTTAGTAATTAAACCATTGAAACATGTACAATTACAAAGCTAAATAAATGGTTAAAGATACTGCCTAAGTCATCTTTTGTTTTATGAAGCTTGGGCCAAAAAAAGCCATTAACAAGCTTATATATAGACCTAAAAAAAAAAAAAAAAATCAGAATGCCACTGAATAAAATTTCAGTTAAAAGAAAAAAAAGATACACGAAGAAGTCCATTTGGAGAGCAGTGCAATAATCATAAAAAGTACTTCAAGCAGAAGCTGCATAGGCAGGGGACACAAAATGTTCCCATCGTAAGGGTAAAACTAACAGTCTGCAAATGAAGTACGACTGTAAAGCTGAGTGGTTTTTATGGAAGAGGGGCATTTTGCCATGATTGTATTCCAGCATGTTGTAAATGGCCTTACAAATTCCTCTGTAATAAACACAGTGAGTCTTGAAAACAGTCTCAACTTATAATAAGGCTAGTTTCATGTTGAAGTTTCAGAAATAGATAGCTAATAAAGAATGCATAATGAGTATATTAGATGCATTAAGATTTGGTAAATTAGGTCAGGAAATGTATTCTGTTTCTATGGGATTTTGGAGGTATGTGAGGCTTGGAGGATACCCTCTTTTGGAAGGAGGACACAGACACACACACACACAGTAAGAACACAGAGCAGGCGAGCTGGCGTTTGGCTGTCCCATTACCAGAAGTAGAGCTTGTTCATGCAGTAGCTGTTGCTGCAAGATCTCTAACTGCCTTTGCTCCTCCTCTAACTGTCGCCTGATGTATTCCTGGAGAGGTGGGTAGCAGAGAGTTCAGAGGAACAGAGAGAGAAAGAGAACGGTAATTCCAAGGTGACAAGAGCTGCCAAGTAAGGTGTAGAAGAAGGAGGGAAAAAAATACCCAGACACCTCCTCACAAAACAGGAAGAGTATGCCACACCAAAGCAAAAGCATTTCAACATAGTCAAAAGCACAAGCCCTCCACCCACAGCAGCTGACTAGATGGCTCAGAGTTTTATTGATGCGACTTGATTTTCATAAAGCCAGCCACATTTTAAAGCTTTTCATTACACCGTCCCCTCTTTATGGACTACCTGGAATTAACAATGCTGTTAAGTTCAGAGGTTCCTGTGCAGCCAGCAGGAATAAAACAATTGCTGAATGCCATCATGTGCTGTCTTTGTAACTGAACCCTCCTGCAGACTTCCTCTGTGCTGTTAGAATGTGACTCTAACCAGGGAGGGAGAGACGGGGCTACATCAATGACTCAAGTCATGAACACCAGAGATGGCATGAGTAGAAAACTCTTCTGAAGCAGTGAAAGAGTAGGACTTGGCTAGTTTTCACGCTTCTGTGCTGCCTTCAGAGCAGATACGCAGGGTCAGGAGAACCAGATGAAGGTCTGTCAGGGGACTTTGGCCTGGGAAGGAAGTGAGGTTGAATGAGTGGGCACTGCCAAGGCTGTGCATTTGACTGCTTGAATAGGTGAGAATAGTTGCTTGAGGAAGAGTAAAAACCCACTTAAATCGGGCAGCCCTAAGAGGAAGTGACGCACACCCCAGCGACATCAGGCACAGGAGTCCACTCTGTACCACTGGCGATGCCCAGTCCCGCTGTACCTGCTCGTGCTCTGCCCGCCTCCGCTCCTCCTCCCGGCGCATCTGCTCCTCGTAGTGCCTGCGCTGCTCCCTCTCCTGCTGCTTCCGCAGCTCCTTCTCTCGCCTTTGTTGCTGTGGGGAACAAGCGGACAACCATAAGGGAAGTAGGCACTGGAGGTGGAGTGCCGGGAACCAGCAGGGAGAGCGGCAGAACTAGGACATGAACTCTGAAGGAGAGATGCTGAAATGCTCTAAGTCTCTTCCTCTCCCATCTACTGGGAGACCCATTGGCAGGGACAGGGTGATAGAGAATACTCTGCTGCTTACCATGTACATAGACTCCCCAGGTTTATGTACTGACCTAGAAGTTTCTGTAAAGCACATTCTCCCAATTAGCTAATGGGAGTTTTTAAAGGAGGGTAGGAAACACTAATGTCTAATAGGTTACTTATTAAACATGATCAAACTGTTTATGACATCATATGGGGTTTAAAGCATATTTCTTTCCATATCATGTAAGGCAAACATTTCATAGGTAGAGAAAGCAAAAATCAGAGAAGTGAAGTGACATATTCAAGGCCATACAGACAATTAATGGCTGAGGGTACAATAGAATTTACTGACTTCCATCCAGTCAACTACCCTTTCTCACACTGCTGCCTCTCTGTATTTTCTGGAATATTCATTTTGAAGTGTCAATTTCAACTTCCCACTCGAGTAACACCCTTATACTCAGGAATCATCATCATCATCATCATCACCTCATATTTACTGAACAATTGCCAGGCCCTGGACAGTTTGGTAAGCACCTTACATGCTTTATCTTATTTAATCATCACAACAGTCTTCTGAGGTAGATATTATTACAGTCTTGCGTCGCTTAACATCCACGATATGTTCTGTGAAACAGGATGTTATGTGATTTAGACATTGTGCAAACACCATATCATATATGCTGCGCATGACCCAAGCCATGGTATTTTCAACCAAAAGCAAAGATGTCACTTTGAGGACTAAAGTGCACCTGACCTAAGCCATGATATTACATACTTAGCAAAAGCTATATGGATACTGCTGCTATCACTAGCACTGGTTTAGCTGCATCTGGGAGCCACGATGTACTCCAAGGTAATATTTTCAAAAGAAAATTAAACAGAGATAGTGCTACAACATTCAAGAGATGTGTGATACATGAGATCGGATGCTACTGCCTAGGGGTCGAAGCATACACTGTTATACAGTAAATTTTTTATTTGTAAGTAGGGAAAGTTCATGTTAAAGTAATGATAGAAAGTACAGTACGATACATACGCAAGTCAGTAACATAGGTGTTTATTATGACTATCAAGACATATGTATTATAGGTTATATATGTACTGTATAATTATATGCCTGGTAGCATAACTGTTCTGTATACAAGAGACATGAGATACAGGTGTTATGTGTGAGAAGCTGTTGCATTCACTACGTCCAGTTACATCTGCTATGTCTTACTCTCTGATTGGGATTTCTGAACTCAATTATGAGCTTATGGGACCATGGACATCTATGTGATCGGATGTTGCCCAAACGAATGTTTTGTGGCACATGACTGTATTATCCCAATTTTATATAAGAAAACTGAAGTGCAGAGTGATCAAGAAATTGTTCAAGGTCACATGCCCAGCAAGTGGTGGAGCCTGATTTCAAAGCCAGGATGTGACTACAGAATCTGAACTCAATCATTACAGAAAACAAAGAGGCACAGGAGTGACAGAAAGATCATAAATTTTCCAGTTCTTCATTATACTCTCAGGAAAGGAGAGCATCCTAGGAGCAGAAGTTAGAGCTAGGCTAAGCAGTTACAGAGGGAAATGGTTCTCAAGCAGGGACAGCACTTCCTTCCCTGGAGCATTTGGAACTGTGTGGGTACACGGGGGAGCTTTTACTGGTTGTCCCAATGATGGGGGACATGATGGACATTTAGCATGAGAAGCCAGGGATGCTATCATGCTGCAGTGTGCAGGAAAGCCACACATTACAACGTGCTTTCCCACACAACATGCCACTGGCACCCCTTCTGAGAAAGGCTGTAGGTCCTTTATGTCAGAGCCCTGCACTGGCATTGGGGTTTCTTCTTCCTTAAATAGGAGGTTCAGAGGGGACACTTCAGGGGTCCATTCCCTTGTAACATTCTCAACAACATTTCACTATAGGCTAAGGAAACAGAAGATACTGGAATAGAATGGATTATGACTGTATAACACTGACCAGCTAGCTCTACACAAACAGGGATACAGCTTTCTAGGACAACAGTTCTTTTTCAGAGCCCGGCTAACCCAACGACAGATATTCAAATGTCAAAGAAGCCCATCAGGAAGCCTTCCTGATGCAGCTACTGCTGCAATCTTCTGATTTGCTGTCTTCCAACGGCCTCGGAAGAAGCTGCATCTTTTGAAATTCAAAGTCTATCATTTCCAGATAAAAAATTATTTGTCCATCATAGATTGCAGGCAATGGGGAGCCACTGAAGGACTTTATGCAGCCCAATGACATGAGCAGACTTGCATTTTCAAAAGCCATGGGAGAAGGCAAGACTAAAAGCTAAAAAGCAGTGAGAGGCCATTCTACTGATACACACTTGGAATAATAGGGCATTGATGAGTTAAGCAAGGGCAGCCTGAGAGCCCACGTTCATAATCTCTGCTGAGGATGGAAATGCAACCAAAAGGAAGAAAGACTAAACACTATTCAGACTTCCAGTTTTCTTAACAGGGCTGGAGTGGATAGCAACTTAGAAGTAGAAATTAGAAATAGGCAAATAGGCTGGTGACTGCTGGCTGTGTGTGTGTGTGTGCGGTGGGGAAGGGAGGGTGTTTGAATTACTTGGTCAAGAGGCATGGTAGATGGTGCAATAGAGAAGAAGGAAAAGCAGGTCTGGGGAAGGGAAAGAGAGGTATGTTGGGGTACAGGGATGAGTCAAGTTCCAGACATGTGATTATTTGTTTTGCAGAAAAATAATATAGGAAGACGTGAGTAGAAAACATCAGCATAGGAACCAGCTGAAAAGTCTGGACTACAGACTCAAACAGAGATATTTCCAAGACTCAACCCAAGTGAATCCATGCCAGCACAGAGAATAAAATAATTTATGTGTGCAGATCTGACTCCTTGCAGGAAATAGCCCTAATTTAGCTAACATCTCCAGTTTTTCACTCTAACCATTAGTCTCTTTCTTGAGGAAAAAAATAATCAAGCCGTCTGAAGATTTAGCTGATTTTTATGTGAAGGATTTGTACATTTCCACCTCCTTTGCCTGGAATCAATACTGTTTTATAATTACATGCCACTCAGGTCCCCCATGTGAGGTGCATGCAGTATTGATTGCAACTCAAGAGGACCTGGGCTTCCCAAGTATTCTGTATTTTCTGAGAAAGGCGCTCAAAAGTGACAAATAATTAACGATTTCACTTGGATCAGCTGCCGCTAAGGCATGGAGGCATTGGTCCCTGTAGCGAGGCTGAGAAAATAAATCACTTCCCCAACCTTCTGAGGGCACCCTGCCAATTTCCAGCTGCTGTGCCTCAATGCTAATGCCTTTCCTGGAAAAATGTTTGTTCGCTTTCCTCCTGTGCATGGGCTGTTTGAGGGGACACAGCAAAACCTGTCAAAGAAAGACACAGGCTCTGGCCTCAAGGAGACACCTTTACAAAGCTGATGACTCTTGCTGTAGAAGCAGCTTGCTGAGAGCAAGGCCTGTGTTTGATTCAGGCTGTATGCCCTGCCCCTCACACAAGGTGTGGCACTTGGCAGGTGCACTTAAGAGCTTGTTGAACTAAACTGAGTAAGAATCTTGGGGCAAAAGAAGATAATACAGTATCCTCTTAAATTGCTTTGGGGGCAGTTTCCCTCCTATCAATACTCATAGCTTATATCACACTGTACCTTATATTAGGGAGTCCCTGGGTGGTACAAATGGTTAAGGGCTCGGATGCTAACTGAAGGGTCAAAGTTCAAGTCTACCCAGAAGTGCCTCAAAAGAAAGGCCTGGCAACCTACTTCTGAAAAATCAGCCACTGATAACCCTATGGAGCACAGTTCTACTCTAACACACATGGGGTCACCATGAGTCAAAATCACCTTGATGGCAACTGGTACTTTATATCATAGGTATTTAAGTAAGTATGTCTTATCTACTCTACACTCTAGGTTGAAAGCGATTTGTGGGCAGGGTCTACGTTCCACTGCAGTTTTCATTGCCCACCGTATCCCACATAGCACCTGGCACCATCGAGATCCGCTGCATTGACTACCACAGATTGGGAAGGAAGAGAAGGGAAGAGAGCCTTGTAGAGCCTCAGGCCACCCCTTTGTCCTTCTACGCCCTCCTCAGACAGCCCATATGGGCCTGTGGAACATTCTTTTGTGCTGAGCACAGACGGCCTGACAATATTCCTCTAAACCAAGAGTCATCTAAAATTGGCACTGGCATAGTATCTATTCACCATCTTGAAGAAAGGCAGGAAATAAAATAAGGGAGTAAGAGTCTAAGCTGGAAGGAGTGGGAAAGGGGATAACCAAACAGTATTTGTAAATTTTATTCATATTATGCATAAAGATGATAGCGGTCCCGCTGTCAACAAAGAATGGCTTACACTAACTACTCTGAAACTCCTGGCAGATGCTCCCGCTATATTGAATTGCCTACATGCACATTTTCATCCAGATCTTCTTGGAGGCATTGCCAACAAGTTTTATCACTTAAGATTAGTCAGTCAGTGGACCTTTATAAATTTCTAAATTTTTTTTCCTGGTTGGAGGATGATGGACAATACCTACTCTGAAAATTTTCCAGGCTAATGCCATCATTGCCTTCCTCTAAGGAGAGCATTACTGGGGCTTTTGTCCCTCCCTTTGTCTTTTGTTGATGTTTGCAAAACATGACTTTTTTGATAAAAGTTTGTTTTTTTTTTTTAATTTGGTCAAAATATATATAATAAAACATTTGCCAACTCAACAATTTTTATATGTATAATTCAGTGACATTGATTACATTCATCACATGCAACCATTACCACTATCTGTTACGAAATTATTCCACCACCATTAACAGAACATCGGTGCCCCCTAGGCAATGACTCCTCTCTTGCCCC